GAACCGAGAGCGGACCGCGGTGTAAGAAGCGCAAGATCAAGTCAGAAGTGGACCAGACACAGAGGCCAGACGGCGAGCGCAAGAACGTGGAGGGGGCGCTGCGGACTGCGGATCGCTAACCAGGATTCTCTAGGGAGCTCCACGGCGAGCCAACTAGTACTGCCAATTGCAAGTCGCTAGCGGGCAGGCTGTGCGCATTTAGGCTGTGTGCAGCAGGAGAACTCGATGGACTTGAGAAAAAAAAACCTTGAGCCCGCTCACGAGGGGTGAGAGGTTGTGCGCAGCAGGGAGGGCCGTTGAGCGAGCGAGATTCCAACGTCGAGAAGGGTACTTGCGGGCGGGCGGGCGAGCATCGGAGAGGTTAAAAAACACAGAGGCAGAGGGCGGGACGACGCGAACGCAGACGCAGACGCCTCACCCCGCGTCCTTATATCCCATCCCATCCCGTCCCGTCTATCCGCTCCGCACCCTGACCAAACCCGACACTCGCACTAGGACCAACCCGCCCGCTAGCCCGGACGATCGACACCCGGAGTCTGTGGCTGTGGCTGTGTCTGCCTCCAAGTCCGAGTCCGAGTCCTACAGGTGTGCGGCTGCGTATGCGGACAGCTGTCTCCGGCTGTGGATGGCATGCGGTGCGGCGGTGTGGTTGGCTGTGAGGGTGTCGAGATCGTTGGCGTGTGCGGATTGGGTTGGGTTGGGCGAGAGAGGGGGAAGGGGTGTGGCGGTGGCGCAGTGGCGCGGATGGTGGCTCGTCGAAGGGGTGAAAGACGACGAGGATCTGCGAACGCGGAAATGCGAAAGCCGCCAAAGATAGGGGAGGGAGGAGGTCCAAACGGTTGACAGGCCGCCGACGGTGCAGGAAACTCCCCAGCCCGCTCGGTCAGCCATGGAGGCGCCCAAGAAGCTTATACGACCCATTGCGAGGAACGGGTGTACACGAGCCTGAATTGTAACCTGTGGAGGCGGAGTGTGTATGGAAGGACAGTGCCGGTCCGAGTTTGGAGTCGAGACGATCGCGATAGAGGGCATCAAGCCCAGAGATTGGGATGGACAGGCAAGCCTAGGTACCGGTGCGACGTTTGATGGCGCCGTGGTGCCTGCGATTGGAGAGTCCGACGATATATCATATACGAGCTCGCGAAGACTTGACGTCAGCGGGAGGCGGAGGAGGGGCGTAGCGGGTGGGATGGAAAGGGGCCTAGGCGGATATATGGCGTCGAGCACGAGACGAATGCGAAGTGCGACGGATTGCGAGGGCAGGCGAGAGCCGATCTGGGGGGGGGGAGACCTGTCTTACAAACGGGCGACGTAAGCGACGGTGATAAATAGGGTGGGCGGACGGCCTGAGCAGTATCGCGACGAAAACTCACCAGCCAGCCGATAGTGAGATTGCGCGAGTAGCGACGCGGGGGTATAGCAAAGCAGATGGCTGCATTCGTAGAAAGCGGGGAGGCTGTTTCCGTTCCCGAGGCCGTCTTGAAGCGCAAATGTAAGGCTGCTAGCCATAGACGAGCCGCCGACGTCGATGTGGAAGTTTCTTCAATCTACAACAGCGACCAAGACGTGGGTGAGCACCTATAGAGCAGCGGATACTAGACGTCGATGAGGGGCGAGGCTGCGGAAGTGATACGGGGGTTAAGGTTGCTATGCCGAGGTGGCGCTGGATGTGAAAGGCGGGGGGAGAGGAAACCCGTGTTACGGGTCGAGCGCAAAGCTACTCGGGAGTGGTGAAGAATTGAAGGGGGGAAGAGGGGAGACATCGCGTCGTCGATGACGACGCCATTGTCATAGGCACCCAACAAATCCAGGCGGATGGGAGAGGAATAATCGGCGTCGACGAGCAGTAAGCAAGGAAGGGGCTTCGAACGTCCACGGCGCAGAAGCAGAAAAGACCACCGCAAGAGCACGCCCAGAAAGAACGACCGAGCACCAAGCCCCACCGTAGCCCTTACAACTTACCTATATACCCCCATCCCCTCGCCCCGCCGTGGCATTAGGCACGAACATGGCGAGCCAGTCACACCAGAAACAGAAACAGAAAACAAACACGTTGCCGCAGCCCGTTACCGGCGATACAGCGCGTCAAAGATCCGGGTGCGGATGCGGATGCAAGAATAAATAGCCTCGCGGCAGTTCTGCGATCTGGGAATTGATGGTGGCGGTCCGCAGCGGTCGCAACGCTCGTGCGAACGGGAAACGGAAGGGGGGTGCGCAAGGTTGGGTTGGTGGCGGAGAGGAGGGAGGAGGGAGGGGGTTGCACAAGCGGAATAGGCACGATGGTGCGGGAGATTGGCGCGTGATGGTGCGCTGATACTAGATAGTTGAATTATGAGTCGAGCATGCACGATGAGAGGATTTGAGATATCGGTGTGAAGGACTTACTAGCGGTCGCTGGTCGGCGGTGCTGAGCCGTTGTCGACTGGTTGTGGAGCGGCGACGTTGGCCTTTTCCTCGGCTGGGCTGGGAGTCCGCGCAAATTTTGACCGATAGGAATGCTCGAGGGTAGCGATGATGTTGCACCGGGCAGACGAGAGAGCACGAGATATCCGCGATCCGGCTAGGCAAGAGGCGTCGATTGCTGAGTTCGAGGTGGTGGAGTTAGCAGAAGTGGGAGAATGCAAGAGAGGAAACGAAAACACCAAGCGCAGAGAAACCAGGCGTCAAGCGTCCTCCAAGCACTGCGGGCCGTCGGCATCGATAGAGTCAACCCAGCTTATCCCCCGAACCAACCACTGTACCAAGTCGTCCCGCCCACCAAATTCGAAGTGCGTACGCTGCCGGCACGGAAGCCCCAATCAGCGCCCAGCAGCTCCCGCGGGCAGCAAACGAGACCCCGCGCCCGAAGCCCAGTTGGCACAGATCGCAGACCCAGCAAAAGCGAAACCGTCCATGCACCAGCGACACAAGCCCTTAAGTACCAGAGCGCACCCACCGTCCCCGCATGGGATCTGGATGCCGGTGCTATCTGCACCGGCGATATACGCGTCCAAAGATCCGGAGGCGGGATCGCAGGCAAGGGGCGCGGCGAGCCTCCGCATGACGTATACGTACACGCGCCCGCCTCGAGTCTCGCGCTTCGTGCTTCTCTTCGCAGAGCGTCCCCAGTCGGGTCCTGCAGGCCTGGTGACTGTGTGCATGAGAGCGCATTGCACGCACACGCACGCTGCGGTTCCTGGACGAGCCTTGTCGTCATCGCTAACGGGTCCTGTAAAAGAGATACGTATGGCCATGGGGCGCCGGGGCGAAGGAGATATATACCGCGAACGGCGCAGTCCGTCCGTCCGCCGCGCCCGAGTCAACCGCTGAGCCTGTGGCTGCCGCTTGCCAACGCCACCAGCTGCGGCTCTACCTTCATACGCGTGTCATGGTCACCCCCCTCGATTCGAAACGCGACACATACCGCAGCGGCGAAAAGTGAAACTGTGCACTGCGGCGCATTTGCTGCCCTGGCAGGCAGTAGGCACTGCAGCTGGCACTCGGGTGTGCGGGCGGGCTGGGAGATGCGGTTAGAAGCAGGGGGCAGGCGTAGGGGCGCCAAGTGCGCGGGCCGATCGCGAGGGGAGGCGGAAAATCAAAATGGGCTTAGGCTTTAGCGCGCGCAGGCACGTGCGGCGCGTGTGGGTCACCTGTGCTGAAACGCGTCGCGACGCGTCATTGCGTGTTGCCGTGCGACTTCGTCGACAAGGTTGCATGTAAACAACGATATGATTCGGGTACCTGCTGGACTCTCTGTTGCCGCATGTCATGTTCTTCAGCAATGTCTGCAGCAGAGTCGGGGGCCCCGCGCGCGCTTACATACATGATGGTGCTTACAGATTCGCGCCTCCAACATGACTCCGGAGTAGTGAAACGGGTTTCAGTGAGGTTACTGTGAACCGTGCATGATGATATATACTGCCCGCGGCAGACGACGCGTCATGCTTTGAGGGAATAAGTAACGCGAGTCAGAACTCCAAGCATTCGATCGAAACGGGGAACAGATCATATCGCTCTTACTTACGTTCTCCCACTTTCCTCCATTTACAAGATGTCGGAACGAGCGGATCGCAGCTGATATGATCTGCGGCAGGGTGCCCAACGCGTACAAGACACTGAAATGTAACACGAGCGCCGCGCAGCAGCATCAATTGACGAACGTATTGGACAAGGTCAGGCTGACGACTAGATTGCCTTCCTTGGCCGTCTTTATCGATATCCTCGGCGATGACTTGAGTGTCGCGCGTCATACGTGCCTGCAAATCGCTACCAACACCGACAGTGTCGCGCATTGGTGGGGGGTGTGAGATGTAGCTTACTGACGAGACTCACGAGAGTGTAGGCAGATACGAGAAGAAAGTCTGGCCAACAAAAACATAGCACGAGCGAGCATGAGCCATCGGATGCACTGAGACCGCCCGACGCAAATTCTGTGTCCGTGCGCGTCCACGAATCGGTCCTTCGCATGGCGTCGACCACTGCGTCAAGTGAGCCCTGCGTGATTGACGCACGTGCGAAAAGCGATCTACAGCTGTTCCTCCGTTGCAGAATTCTAACATATCAGCCTGCAGCGCACAGCAATTTCAGATAACACGACATACTATGCTGCTTTCTCGAAGAAAACTTACCAATGAACAAAGATTGTCTTTCCTCCTGCCTCCTCCATCGCTCTCGCCAAGTCCCGCCGCAGGTAAACTTGTCTCAAAGCCTGACTCCATAACCAACATCCACTATCCCCAGCAGCTCACCTACATTCAAGTCAAAAGTAACACAGACAACCAGCACCATCGATATCGACCAAGCAATTAAACCTCGCCGCGAATCCGAGTCAAACCCACCTCCCCCGCGCGCGCGGCGCCACACCCCCGTTAACCCCAACCCCACCCCACCCACCCAACCCACCTTCCTAATATAGCAGCTCCCCTCATCCCCTCCTCCTCCTCCCCCGCCTCATCCCATCTTCCTCCCATCAATCCCGTTAAAACTTCCTTCTCTCTTTCTTCTGCTAACCACATAACTATGCCGCCGTGGCGCAACGCTAGCGCATCACCTTCCTACCAGGAAGTCGGGACAATAGATCTCCTTCCGTGGGTCTGTGACTCTGCGGTATATAGGTGGGGGTTGCGGGTTCGATCCCCGTCGGTGGTTAATGAATGTGCTGTGTCTGCGAACTTGTTTTTGGGCTTTTGGTGGGGGCGGTCGGATTGTGTGTGTGTGTTTTCACTTTTACGTGTTGCCAGAAAGATCTGTAGATATAGACCGATGCATGCCGTCGGAAATCGGAATCGCATTAAACTTTCCGTTCTCTCGACGTACATTAACCACTACGTATACATATTCCGTGCTATTTTCAAAAATGAGACATACGCATTGAACAGGAGCCGAAATCGAACAACAGAGGGCGTCCCTGTGTTGAAGAACTTGAGAAGATTCCCTAGATGCAGAGTCTGGGTGAAATGTGGCCATGCATGGGTCTAGGCACCACCAGCACGTACGCGTGTTGCGTGGATCGTCTCGGGTGCGTTAAATTCTAATGTACAAATATCCCCTCCCCCCCTCCCTCCCCGCCCTCTCATCATAATCATAACCACTCCTTGTCCTAACCCTCGTCCTCATCCCCATCCTCATTTTCGTCCTAACCCTCATCCTCCGTCGCCCTCGCATCCCCGAAAGCATCAACCCCTCAAAGCGCATTGCTCGCACACGTAAACGGCTTCCCCACCGCGCCCGCATTGTAGCTATCCACGATGGACTGGATCGAGACCTACATCGTCCCCCAATGCACACAGCGCGCGTCAGCCCACCGAAAAATCGCACAACCCAAAAAAACAAAAGAAACCGCGAAGATCAAAATCAAGGAAACACGTCGAGAGTGGTAGTGATAGTGGAGACATAGAGGCGGCGGCAAAGGCAAAATAAAGGATAGAAGGCGAAAGTAGAAAGGAAAACAAATGAGAAAAAAAGGCAAGGAGACAACGCACATACGTCCCCGCGCCCAGAATATACACCCCGAGCACGATCAACCCATAATTGACGAGCGTCTCGGCTGCGCGGCGCGCGCCGGCCCACTTGTGCGCGCCCGCGCCGGCCCATTTTTGTGCGCCCGGGTGGAGCGAGAGGTACGCCATGCCCCAGAAGATGAAGCCGAACCAGCAGTCTGCGCGCATCAGCATGCCAAGGACAAAGATGAGGATTCAGCAAAAGAGAGAACGCAGAAGAGCAGAGAAGAGAACAAGGCAAAACGCACCGAATAACGAGCTCATCAAACTCAACATATCCGAGAAAAACGGGATCACCTCCGCGATCACGAACGCGGCGGCCCACGTCGCGGCGAGGATGGCGGCCCACACGGCCCACCCGAGCACGGTGTTCGAGTGGCGGTGCCGCGAGGTCGCGAAGATGCGGAAGAAGAGGAAGCGCGCGGTCACGGACTGTGTGTGGCGGGTGTTAGCTCGAGGTAGGTGCAGGAGCAGGAGGGGGGGAGAGGAGGCGGGTGTGGAGGAGGAAGTGAAGAGGCGGGTGCGGAAGTGAGGCAGAGCGGAGGGGGAAGAGGCGGAAGAGGCGGGTGCGGAGGGGGAAGAGGCGGAAGAGGCGGGTGCGGAGGGGGAAGATGAGGGGGGACAAGGGGTAAGGGGGAAGGGGTAAAAGGGGAAAAGAGAAGGGGGGAAGGGGAACGCACGGAGTACAGCGAGCCGAGATACACGATCGTCGGAATCGCGAACGAGAACGCGATCTTTTTGAACGTGGGCTGCAGCGAGCCGTACGCGGGCGCGGCCATGTACTGGTTGCCTGCACGCACGCACGCCCCCCACCCCACACACACATTCAGCATCGCGGAATCGGGACACGCACGGATATATGCGCGACGACCGTCGACGTACCGATAAAATGATACATCAACGCCCCGCAGAGCGTGAATACGACCACTTCCGCGATCGTCACGGCCCAGAGCGCTGCATGACCAAATGATCAACAATCGCCAGAGCAGGCCAGAACCCAGTACGAGCCGCACGCACGCACCCTTCGGAAAGTCCCTCGGATTCTTCATCTCCGCAATGAACGACGGAATCGTAATCTGGCCCACCAGCGTATACGTGATATTCAAAAACGCCGACATGCCCGCCACAAACGTCGTGCCCCGCACCGGAATCGCCGTCACGAGCGGCTCCTCGCCCGCAATGTAGCCAAACGGGTGACTCTGCACGCCGGAGAAGATGATGGCGAGCAGGACGGAGAGCGCCATGGTGGCCGCGGCGAACACGCCGAGGCCGCTGAGCTGCGCGAGCGTGCGCGGGAGCGAGAAGAGGAAGCAGAGCGCGGCGCTAATTGCGCTGAACGCGATCGTGCAGAGCGCCGAGTTGGAGAGCGTGTTGAGCAGCTTCGCGCCGACGAGGCAGTGGAGCGCTGCGTGCGCGTCTGCGGTTAGCGGAGGCAGAGGTGTAATATGGATGCGAGAGAGGGACGGACCTTGGATGAAGGTGTTGTTGAGGATGAAGAACGCGGCGGTGACGTTGTACGCGGCCTTGGACCCGCCGAAGAGGATCTGCCCGATGTCGCAGACGTCGCGGACCTCGGGGTGCTTCAGGCAGAAGCGCCAGAGGATGAGCGAGGTGTACTGGCAGCTCGCGGCGACGGCGAGCGTGACGATGATGCCGGGCACGAGGCCCAGCACCGAGAACGACCTGTCGTAGATGAGCACAATGTCTACATGATCGCCTGTAGCCAGTACTCACCAGGGAAACGAGAGAATCGCAAGGCATATATACTCGGAGAAGAGCAACGCCGCGGTCTGCGCAAGTCAGCGACCAACACAAACGCTAAACGCGACGCGACACACCTTCTCCCAAGAGCACGTCCGGAACTTGATCTCGTGCTCCTGCTCGAGGGCAATCTGGAGGTTGACCTGCTCGAGGTCGGACGCGCTATCGGCATAGCTACTCTCCTGCGCGCTATCGCGGTCCCTCTTCAGCGCGTCCTCCTGCAGCTGCACGCCACTTTCCAGCGGCAGGCCCATATCTCGTGCAGCGTGTCGTCGTCGTCGTGGTCGTCGCGGGGGGCAAAAAGATGACAGGGAAAGGCAGACGACATGTCCCGCGCTTTATCGTGGAGCAGCCCGGCGACAGGCAATAACAGCTGCTGGATCAGATTGGCAATATAAGGCGACGGCCGAGGGCTTGCGCTTAGGCGCCAGATGGGCCGCTGGGCGTGCGCACGCAAGACGCAAGCAGGCCGCGCTCTCGCGTCTTTGCGCGCCCAACTTGCGTCGGGATGACGCGCCTGCGCACGTCGATGGCGCAACCCGCGCGCCAATGATGGCCCCGCAATCACGACTCTCCGTGCCTGGCCCAGCAAATGACTATGATACAGTAACAAATGGTATGCAATAACAAGTACACATGCAGCGAATGCAAATCAAATCAAATCAAACCGAAACCGAAATCAGCCCTCCATATGCATCCCCGCCAGCCTCTGCTCAATCCCCCCCGCCCACGGAAACTCCTCCCGCGCGCCGACAGCCCCAAACATCGTCGGGCTCCTTGGCCGCACGTCCCGCGCGCTGTAGCTGCTCGCCACGATCGCGTCCACCCGGTCCAGCGCCGCCGCACGCGCCGTCTCGCGCCCGGGCGACGCAATGCTGCTGACGCCCGACTCCGACTCCGCGCTCGCGCTCGCCCTGCGCTTGTGCTTGTCCGACCTCGCCGTCCTGGGCACGCCCTCGAACGCAGGCGGCGGCGGCGTGAACAGCAACTGCGATGCGAGCGGCGGCGACATCACCTGCCGCGGGCTCGCCGGGAGCACGTCCACGTCCACGCTCTTCCTCACAGGCGAGCCAATGCCCTGACTGTGCTTGTCCTGCGCGAGCCTGCGCGCCGGCACCGCCGTGTACCTATCCGCCCCACCCACATCCGGAGACGCGGACACGCTCGCGGGCGACCACGCCTTGGTCCACGCGAGCCACGACTCGCGCGGCTCGCGCGCCAGCGCGCTGTGCAGCGACGCCTGGTCGCCAAACGCCGGCACGGGGTCGGGCGATTCCTGCACGATGCGGAATCCACACGCGCTCCCACTTCCACTCCCCGGCGACATCGACATCGACGCCGTCCCATCTCCCATGCTCACGGGCGCGGGACTGGAGTGCGCGGCACCCTGCAGCCGCGCAAGGATGCCGCGGCGGATCGAGCCCTGCCTGCGCGCGTCGTACGCATATGTATACGGCGAGCCGCACGCGGAGAGCGCCATGTCAACGTCCTCGTCGTCCGTCTGGCTGTACACGCTCGGCGGGTCGGGCGACGCGACCATATGCAGCGCGCGGCGCGCGTCCGTCTCTTTCTCCTTCTCCTTCTCATTTTTGTTCTTGTGATTGCTATTCGTATTGGTTAGACCGCTTGAGCGCGAATGGGACCGCGACCGGCCGCGGCGCACCCTCGGCGGCGCGAGCAGCCCGTCCTTCACGCTCCCGCTCCCGCTCCCGCTCCCGCCCGGATGCAGCGCGAACGCAGGCGCGCCGAGGTACGGCGTGCCGTGGCGCGAGTACTTGCTCGGGCTGCCCACGTCGGCCCCTCCATCGGCGTGCGCGTGCAGCGCGACTTCCTGCATCGCCTCCCCCACCTCTCCCCCCGGCGCCGGCACGGGCATGGGCATGTACGGCGGACCGAACTGGAACGACGGGTGCTGCGGGCCCTTCCCTTTCCCCTTCCTCCCCCTCCCTTGCCTATGTCTGCTGCGCCTGCGCAAAAGGAGGAAGAGGAGATAGCCGAGCAGCGCGCCGAGCGCGAGGCCTGCGAGCGCGAATAAGGGCGTCAGGTAGAGCAGCGTGAAGGGCCGGTGTTGTGTGGGATGTGTGGGGTGCGTGGGGTTCGAGCTCGAGGCGGGGAGGGCGGTGAGTTGGATTAGGGAGGCGGAGGAGGTTGGGGAGGATGGTGAGGGTGATGATGAGGATGAGGTGGTAGGTGTAGGTGAGATTGTAGGAAGAGTGGAACCGCCGTCTGTGAGCGCAGGCAGACGCGCGGGGACCGTCGGCGCAGGCGTAGGTGTAGGTGTTGGCGTGGCGCTCTGCCCCCACGCGGGGTACGGCCACCAGTTGATGCTCGTCGTCGCTGTCGGTTCGGGGCCCATGAGGAACGGCGCGTCGCGGCGCGGCTTGTAGT